AGGGAGAGAGATATCACTATCTCCCAGGATTATTTAGGCGACGAATACGACAAGGAGGGTGCACAAGAAATCACGCTAGCAGTAGGCAACTAGACCTTTTGGAGAAAATGGATGTAATGTGACGCATCGGTGATTTTACCATAAATGGCTAGTTGGCATTTTGGTCTTAGCATAATTATTATAGGACGTTTTTGAGTATTGTTTTAATATTTGCCCGTTAGACGCTTTATATTTTAAAATTAGTCCCTTAATTTATCGAAAATGCATCTATCCCTCAACTCAATGAAAACTAAAGATCTACTTCAAAACTCTATTACCGTGGGCTTCAGGGCGGTTGCCAGGATTTTAGTTTCTGGGGGGGGCCGCGTACAAAAGATAGATCACAAAAATTTTTTCTTAATGTAATTTTGATTCACGAAGAGCTATACCACAAACGCCATAATAAAACGAGTAGAAATAGCCAACATCAATATATCCAAAATATTTGCAAAAGTAGGAGATTAAATATTATATAGAAAATAGTCAAATAAGCATACATCTATTTTTTTAATAACTAATATTTCTCTAACTAAAGGAATTCGAACGTACTTAAATTTTCAAAGGCTTCAATGATAGCATCAATGCTCAGCACTTTTAGCAATTTCTCTTTCAATAAACACTATTAATCGTCGGAGAGGAAAGCATCCTCCAATTTTGCTCGAAGTCTAGTCTTTGAGATATCATAGCTGAGAATGATCGTTCTGCAGTAGCGGGAGAAACTGGAAGAGTAAGCAAAGTACGATCATCAGACATGAGGTCGTATGTAGCAGACTTTTTAGTCTTTTTACGGCAACTCTTGACCACCTCAGAAATGGTTGAAAGAGTTTTGAAGTGTGACCTTTGACTAGATTACTGCTCATAATGTTTGAAAAAAAAAGAAAATCAGTTGCTCTCGAAACTCTCTTTTCTTTCACTTGTAAAATCTTGTGCATAAACTGTGCCAACCAATTTGCATATATCTTGTCTTCTCAGCTCAGATGCGACTTTTGAGGATTTAAGGCAGAACTAAAGCATGGCATTCTGTCGCATCTTCACTAAAGACGCACATTAATTCTTCTTGCATTTGTGAATGAGATCGCGACATAAAAAAAGTCTAATCGACTAAATATGGCCATATGGCTGATGTTTGATCGAACCACGAGCGTCATTCTGCCCATTCGCTAAAATACTCTCATAAATTTCCATTTCAATGAAACCCCCTTTATTATCTTGTTTGCCATCATGTAATATATTTACTATTATAATATATATAAAAACCCTCACATAAATTATATTCCACAACGTATCATGTAGAGAAATTTTTTTCACCCAAATTAGGAATGAGAGGCACCCTAATTTTTCCGCCCAAAATTTTGAGGGGGCTTGAGGATATAGAGCACGCCTAATTTTTTTCCCCAAATTTTTGGGGGGGCCAGTGGCCCCCTGGACTGTATGATAGATACTCCCCTGACTGCTCTGTCTAATTTCTTAACTGCTAGTTAGTTAGCGGCTAACGGCCCATGATAGTAGAATATCATTTTTATTTTTCATTCATTTCTTCCTCGCAAAACGGCAAATCCCCCCCCCCCCCCCCCCCTTTTTTTTTCTTGTGAGAAACAGGATTAGGGGAACAGAAGATTGGCTTATAGAGGCGAAAAGGGTTTTGACTTCAGGCTTTCAAAATGTTAATGAGTTTCTAAAACATATTGGATTGATTGACTGTTGATTAGTTTGTATAACTTGGGAACTCAAGCAAAAAAAATCGCCTAAGTTTAATAGAATATTTGGCTCAATTCACATGTCAATTTACGATATCTAATATATGTAAATAGGGAAAGATAAGGACTAATAGCAAATTCAATATCTTCAGGGACTGACTTAGAAGCATGAAAGACTTGAAGGGACAAATACGAAAATGCCCGTTAGTTATTTAATGTCTCTTTACCGAAGACACAAGAAAAAAGAGAGGAGTAAACATTTGGAGCTCCAATCATTTTTCCAAGAAAGAGGATAGAGGTTGAAGAGAGAGAAAGAGAAAGTTGGGTTTCTCTTCCTCTACTCTTTGAGCAACTCTGGATCCAAAGGTGAGAACTTTTTTGCTCAAATTGGTAAAATTTTCAGTTTTTTCCTCCCTCTGGCTTATTAATCATTTACATGCTGATCTGTTTGTTTCTGCTTCTTCAATGACTAAATTAAATTTCGTGCTTTTAAAATGGTTTGATGCTTTAAAGGGGAAAGGGATGGTTATTGCTCCCAATGAGCTATTATATGCTATTTTTTTGGGGATAAATTGCTGTTAAGCTGCGGATAAGCTTTTTTTTTTTTTTGCGAAAACAAGGGAGTAATGTGAGTTTGGGCTTTTGGGTTTATGCAATAATTAGCAATCATGCCGAGAAATCTGCTACATTTGTCAGAGAGTAGAGATGAGCTGACCTTGAGTAGAGTATGATGGGATGTTTGTGAGATAGTTGATAATATCTAGCTGGTTTTGATAACATCTAGTGGGTTTTGTTAGTGGATTCATGGGATTTTTCCTTTTATTTATTTATTTTTGGTAAGATAAAAAGGGTTTTGTTAGTTGTCTATGGTCTTTACTTTCAGATTTGATGATGGAATTTCCCTAATGTGCACAAATTTGGTGTTTCTTTCGTAATTTGGATCATTAACATCAAAGGATTTGACCTGCTTCCTAATTAATGTGGATTGTTTAGTGAAGGAACACTATGGATAAATCCATTAGTGAATATATCGGATGTTAGGTTAAGTGCCCGACCAAAGGTGTTTTAAGATGGAGGTACAACACTAAGCAGAAGAAATGTCATGAAATTGAGCATAAAAATGTGCCACCAAAGAAATATTGACAGATATGTGTTCTAGATTTTGCACCATTTTCTTGCCGATAGAGATATTAAAACTTCTATTCGTATAGAAATATCAGAAATAGGTTCAAGCTTCGAAAAGGGAAGTAGATTTGTCTTTTGAAACCTGTTAGATTTATAGATAAGTAAAACGTTATGGATCCAAGCTTGCTAAGCATTATAAACATCATCTCTGGCATATACAAACTGAACAGAAATCAGACTGTGGGCAGTGTCGTTTGCCAGACTTAGGTTTGACTGATGAATTGTGATTTCTGTACCTGCAAATATTTATGCTACAAGGTAACATAATAATAATAATAATATCCAAATATCAACATCAATATCAATAGCAATAGTAATAAATAAATAAATATCCAAAGATATCTATCTGTTAGTTTATCTATAATTTGTGCAAGTGAGCACATCGGGCCAGAGAATTGCTACTAGCAAATTCCTGCAGTGCTTTATTTTTTATTTTTTATTATTAATAAACGAGCCAAACACTTGCACGTCTTGTAAATTTTTAATACCAGCTTGCTCATGAAGCCTAATTAAATGTATTATAGTGCAAAAAATAGAAATAAACGCTTGTTGCCCACTGGGAAAAAAAGAAGTATTACATGTGTGAAATGAGCATCAAATCTGGAATACACAAGGAAGAAGAAGATATCCCTGAAAGGAAGTGGTGAAGTGAAATTCATTAAGAAGACTATAAATGGATCAAGGCTTGGGCAGAAAATAAATGATTAGCATTGTAGCATTCAATTAAATGATTTTAGTATTCAGCTCTTAATTTGCTCTTAAATTGTATTCTTTATCATGCTTAATGAAATGATCTTGATGCCTTCTTAACGATGCACTGACCTAAGTCATTAGATTACACTACCATTTTCATAGATATAAAAATGTGAACTCTTTTCTCTTGGTATCATGTTTTGTTTTCCAATAATTGATTGAATTTCTTGATTAAATATGTAGAGATGGAATGTACACTCTGGGTATAACTCTTTATCTCCTGCTGGTTACTGTATCCACTGCAATCATCTTATCCATCAAGGCCATCAATCATCAAATATTTTAAACTTTACGACTTTGGCTAAAGTAACAATTCTTCTGTTTATGAAATGCTAAAAGACTATGAATACAGTGAAAAAGAGCAATTCTCCGGAAGGATCACTGAGTTCCTCTCATGCTTCTTCTTCAAGTGAATTCTCCTACATTCAAACAGGAATAATCAATTCTTCCAGTCTACAAACTGGCCTTCAGTTTAACCACCCAAACTTAATTCAAGAACCCGAAATGAGAAGTCCTCTATCAAATGTCCCTCATCCTCAATGTTCAGAAAACCCTTTTTCTCGTTCTTCTACATTTTGTACCAGATTATTTTTATCATCTCCTTCAAGCTCAATGACCTGTAGACAACTAAAAAACTTGCCTTTCCTTCCTCATCCACCAAAAAGTGAGCAACTTGTTTCAGCAGTTCAATGTTCAAGCTCACCGTCGCTCTTTAGTGGAGATATGTGTGATGTACACACTGAGGGTGAGCATTCGGATGATTTGATGAAAGATTTTCTTAATTTGTCTGGAGATGGTTCAGATGGCAATTTCCACCAAGAGAATCATGAGAACAGTTCAACAATCAATGAGCAAATGGATTTACAATTTTTATCTGAACAACTTGGCATAGAAATGGCAGACAATGGTGAAAGTCCTTGCTTGGATGTAAGTATCATCATAATTTATTTTCCAGTATTTTTTTATTTATTGGTTATTTGCCTCATATAAATGTTTGTTCGATGTAAGTCCAGGCTAGTTAAGTCCAAGCAAATATTTGCTTTAACTTTTGGGTTTATTGCAGATAGACCCCCTGCTGTATCACTGTTTTGAAATTAGTACCCCTCTAGTTCTATTTGCGGATAGACCCGCTGCGTGAACAAATTGTATTCTACCCTCATCGGTCTGTTTGTCAAAATTCTTTCTCTAAGGCCTAAGGGTAAATAGTGAGAATTTTTTTTCACTCTGGGGGTTTATTTGCAAAAATAAAATTAGAGGCGTAGGAAGTTGAAAACAGGGATACTACTAGGTGTCTATCTGCAATTAACCCTTAATTTTTTAAAGGTGTGTGAACATGGTAGCTCTCTCTGGTTATCAAATCTTTTGACAATACCTTTCTGAATAACAAAGACTGATAGCTTAGTTCTTTATACATACCATCTTATCATATGATGATTTTTTTTTCATTTAGGATTTATATGATGTACCTCAAGTATCCTGTGTTCCACCTTCCACATCTGAAAGCAATCAGAATAATCAACAATTAAGCCCTCCTGTTAAAGTTCAGCTTCATCCAACTCTCTCCACTTCTTCAGCACCAGCTGCAAATAAACAGAGATTGAGATGGACTTTAGAACTCCATGAGCGCTTTGTCGAAGCTGTGAACAAGTTGGATGGTGCCGAGAGTAAGTTTGCACGTTTATAATTTACCCATCAAGTTATAAGTTATAACCATCTCATGATTCCTCCTCCTCCTCCTCTCATGCAGAGGCAACTCCGAAAGGTGTACTAAAGCTAATGAATGTTGAAGGTTTAACCATTTATCATGTGAAAAGCCACTTACAGGTACTACTATTGCACATGAGTCTCATGAACTGTTGGTTGTTGGTCAATGTTCATGTGATAATTAAGATTCTGCTGTTGTCAATGTGCAGAAATATAGACTTGCCAAGTATCTTCCCGAGACAAAAGAAGGTACAATCTGAGAATTCGTGAAGTTTTTTTTCCGCTGACTCGTGTTGGATGCTCAGTTATACTGGCTTCAAGTAATTTATTTCTGCTAAGCAGTTACTTGGGTTAATTAAAAAATCACTGTCAAACCATTTTTATGCTCACTAGTATAGTGTACGTGCGTTGCACGAGGACATACTTCTCATATGTTCTAAAAATATTAGTAAATTGTTAATTATGGATCATCTTGTTAGTTTGAGTTGCTTCCAATAAAATGTCCACATGACATTCATCGAGATGTGGGAGTGATTTGTAAACAAATATAGAATCCATAAAATCTTTAGTACATCTCTTCTTTTTCTCATGAGAAAAGAGTATATCTGCACTATGCACTCCTGAGTTATATCTGCATTGGAGAATTGGACTGCTAACCAATGTTCTTTCCTCATGAGAAAAGAACATATCTCAACCCTCCCTCCATCATCAGCGTGCTGCTTCAATCCCTCTTCGCTATCATACCTATCATAAACATTTCTCTTCTCCCAATTGCTCAGAACTTCATATGCTGACTAAAAAAATCCAAAAAAACTACATTAAACAATTTTTTTCCTAAGAAAAAACTACATTAAACAAATTAATGTAGAAAAAATATACGATTGTTGATTTCAGCAAGTTTCTTGTTTGCCTCCTTATTCTCTTGTTTTTATCAGTATGATACTTCAATGTGAGCTTCCTGGAGATAAGAATTAAGAACCGAAAAAAAAATTCATATATAATAAATCAAACATGTAAAAATTGGGTATTTTGTTTACAAACCCAAAGTTCTACTTTCATTTACTTTTATACCCACCCAATTCTTTAAAACCAAATCATTCTGAATTGTTTTTTCGAGAATAATATTGCATAGATTCTTCTGTCAATCCTCCATGTTCCCTGTTGTACGGGGAAAGACGAATCCATCAATTGATTGAGCTATTATAGAACTACAATCTATTGTAGGTTTGTGGTGTTTTCTCTAATGCTTGAGCTAAAATAGTTTTATGCAAATCCCTACAGATCCATGGCAGCTTTTTTAACTTCATTCTAAAACTATTACTCCAGCTTGTTACTTTATGGTGTTCCTATTGTCATTCGGTTAGGGAAATACTGTTTAGTTCCAACTTTTTACTGCAGTTAATTTTCGTAGGCATAGCTTAATCAAGTTATATTTAGAGTTGCAAAAGGTAATTTTACAAAATGATGTTATTTCAAACTGACTTCAAATTTTGTGAAGAACAACTGCATCCAACTTCTATTAGGTATTTAAGTGCTGTTTAGCTCAACTTCTATAATGAACTAACTGCAGTTTATTTCATCATTTATCTTAGTTTAGTCTCCTTTTAGTTATGTTTACAGACCCAAAGTTTTACACTCATTTACTTTTAAACCCATCCACTACCAAAAATTATTCTTAAAACCAAATGTCCATATGAAATTATTTTTGAACCCGATTTTTGTATTACTTCTCAATATGGTTATAATTCATTATGTCGGCACTGCTGTTCCTCAAACTTAAAGCACGAGTTTATTAAATCTTAACATCATCACTAGTAATGGTCTTCTCGTGCATGCTTTTTTGTTTGTAGCATGGAATATCTTATTGGACATCTTAGTTATTAAAGATCTTATTTCTTTATGCTTCACTGATATATTAGTTATGATATTGTATCTATGAAGGCAAAAGGACTTCGAGTTCTGAAGAAAAGAAGGAACCATTGGTTAGCAATAAAAATGAAAGCTTTGATCGGTAACCATTTTCTTATTCTCCCATGCCTGCTGCAGACACAGTTCTTTATTGAATTCATGGTTTTTATTTTTTTACTTCTATGATAGGAACAAACATGTAACAGAGGCTCTAAGGCTACAGATAGAGGTTCAGAAACAGTTACATGAGCAGCTTGAGGTGAGCAGTAGTTTTTTTTTTCCCAAAAAAAATGAGGTGAGTAGTAGTTGTCATGCTTTTGGCTTCTTAAGCCTAATGATCATATGAGCATCTAATTATGGATTGAAAATAAATTCACAATTTCAATTTTAGCATCTACTCTATTTTTCTTTCATACTGTAAGAACTAACAGAACCAGCGTGGGATGTAAACACATTGATTCAATCTCATGTGTTAGTTCTAGCGGTAGGGCAAAGCTTTACGCATGCTAAATTGACTAAAGTAGTCTAGGTCAGCCATATTCATTATCAAGATAATTCATCTTACCATATACTCTTATGTAGAGACTACTGCTTAAAATTCCGTACAACTAAAGATGGTTGACAATAGGTTGGTGTTGGTGACTAAGCTATGATGGAGAATATACTTGGTATATTCCTCATATTCTTTTCCCCCCAAAACATGACTAAATTGTCTTAGCATACTTAATCAACCCTGTAATTATCCTCTTTCTCTGGGAGGTGGGTGGATGGGTGAGTGAGCCCCTTTCTTCTTCTTCTTCTTTTTCTTTTTTTTTTGGATTTATAAGCTAGAAAATGAGGATGAAATGTGAATTTTACCTAATTTGTTAGAAATCCTAAATAATCTAAGGTGAGATGTAAAGTGGTGAATTTGAGATGATTTTGAGGCTAAAGTAGCAAATATGAAGATTTGAAGGATAACTGTAGGAACACCATAGATTTAAGATGTATATAGGTAAAAGCCCATGAGTTATGCTACTTAGATTCTTTTACTGCCATCAACTAGGAAAATACAGTTACATTTCAAGAAAATTTCACCCCTTTCTTAGTTTAATCAGTTCTTTAATCTTTTAAATTGTTATAGGTCCAAAGGAAACTTCAACTGCGCATAGAAGAGCACGCGAGCTTCCTTCAGAAGATTCTAGAACAACAACAAAAATCAAGTAACTCTTTCATCTCCTCAAAACCTGCACAAAGCCAAGAAGTGCAGCCTGAGTCATCTGATGACACTTCAGTAGAGCAAGCCGAATCAAAAGATGGCTCCATTTCGTCGCGCAGCGGTCAAAAGCGTAAAGCCATTGATTTGGAAAGTGATTCCGTATCTTCGGAGAAGAGACAATGTGTGAAGTTGGATGAAAAGCTTGAAGGTGTTTCCTCAACGTTGTAATTGTAATCCTATCTGTAGTTCTTTGTATATGAATCTATCTGGCACTGTTCCATTGGATGTGTTTATTAGGGTATAATTATTTTTAGTTTATCTTGTAACAAAAATCATATTGAAATTCAAATTTGTGTCATTTGATTGCATAATGTTCCATGTAGTCTAGAAACTTTGGAAGATAAATACTAGTATTTGATATATGCACACTCAAATTCGAAGTTCCGAAGTGTTGAGTATCATATTCCATTACTGTAATTTGCTCTCCAGGAGGAATATGGCAGAAAATGTGATCCATCCTAATAAGGCAACTGTAGATGTAAAGCAGCACGGTTGGAGAAGGGAGAGATTTTGATTAAATTTAAGTATTCGTATGCAAATAAATGAGTATTCGTACATGCAAATAAATTTAAGTATTCGTACGCTCGCGTACTGCATGCACAAACTCCTACACAAATAACACAGATCTACACATTTCATATACACATACATACATGCACACAAGCAGTCGACCATAATCGAAAATAGCAAATGCAAATAAATTGAGTCGCAAGATGTCAAGATGATAAAAACAACAGCCTAATATTAGAAAGCCTGCACCTCAAACCCAACATTAAGAAAACATTTCACTTGTCAATGGAGAATTTATTCCGCTACCAGAAATATCAAACACAAAGTAGATTCGAGATATTGGCTGACACGTGCGGTAAGTATAAGGGGACAAGGCATACCAAACCATAAAAACAAGCGGTCCCAAAAGTCAACAGAGTCACACCATGGACAACGACCAAACTCCTACGTATATTAATTTTCTCAACTACGTATAAATGTACGTATACGGTTAAGAGCAGATTACGTCGGCCAGGAGCTTGTACCTCTGGCCGCTCCCCATCTTCGCCGCCCTCGCCAGCTTCCTCCATCGGTCCGCCGCCTTACTGCTCTTGTTCTTGGGGCCCAGCGGGCCGTTACCGGGCCTAAGTTTCTTTCTGGTTCTCTCCTCCCCCTCTTGCTGCTGCTGCTTATGGATGCACCACTCGCAGGCCCAGTTTTCGATCTCTATTCTGTCCGGATACATCCTGCTGCAATATCTGCAGGAAGCAGCATCAATTAAATAGCAAGTTAATTGGAAAAAAAAAGATTCGAGTTATTATTGGTAACTAATTACGTGTGCTGGAGGCGATAACGGCAGCAAGGGCAGCGGAGCAAGGCATCGGAGAATCCTACATCTCCACATATACAGCAGCATGCCGTGCTGCCGTCGCCGCCGTCGCTTTGAGCTTTTGCTTCTTTTTCATCCATCTTTTCTCTCTCTCTCTCTTTGGGTTCGAGATTTCTCCCCCCCTGCCAATTTCACCAGTTAAGATTCTTCCTTCTGATTTAAAAATGGTAATTGTTTAGTTAAGTCAGAGATTTTCCTTGAAGAGAGGCCGTGGTCAAAGACAATGGGAGAGGAGGAAGAGGAAGAATTCTGTTTTTTTTTTTTTTTGTTCTGTTTGACTGTCATATTTAAGTATAAATAAAAAAGAAATTTACGGTCTCCATGTATCAAAATGATCCATCGTCAAATTAATAATTGTTTAGAAAAAGTGAATAGCAAACGGGTCTCAATGTCCCCCTCCAATTGCATAGTAAGTTAGCCATCGTTAATGATGGTCAACTCATTATGTAATAAGAAAGGAACATCATACCTGTCCTCCCTATTGGTCATATATTTTGGATCTTTAAAGAATTTTTCTTTCTCATATATAGTTATATGTCTCATTTTCTTAACCGTGCTCATGAATACCCATTAGAAAATCCTACGGTTGACAAGAAATGGAGTTGCAATAAATGTTGCAGTCAACTTTCAGTTCCCAACATTTGGTTGGCAACAAGACGGTTGACAATGATAATTAGGTTACCATTTGTAGGAAAAAAAATTGTTACATTTGCCGTAACCAATAAGATTGCAGCAAATGATGCAAGTCCTTTTGTAACTATCAAGTGAAAAAAGGGTCTTTGTACAATTTCGGACAAATAAACACTTTATTTGCAAGTAGAAATACATTTTTTCCCCCACATCAAAGTATGCAGCTATTTTTATTTGCAACCAAATAGATATTGAAGTTGGATTTGAAAAATTCATTTCCTATAATAAAAATCAAGACACCCAAATAACAGATTTGAGGTCAACTCCCTAAAAGAGATGAAACGAGATAAACAAGGTTGGAATTCCCACCGTCTTTTTCCTAGTACAAAGTTGATGGGTTGATGCTTTTCATGGGTTTTTTTTTTTCAATATCAAACTAATTGTCGGTCAGTAGTCCTGCTCCCACTTTGTCCTTTGCTTTGTCCTCTTTAGGGCTGTCCATTTTACTCGCTGGCCTGGGCCCGGCCCGGTCCGGAAATCCGGGCCACGCCGGACCCGGGCCAGCCCGAAACAGTACGGCGCCGGGGCAACATCTGGGCCGGGCAGCCTGGGCCCGGAGCCCGGCCCGTGTGGCAACGGTCACCACTCGTGACCGTTGTCGAAAATAAGCCGGCCCGGCCCGGTCCGGCCCGGCCACAACGGTCACATTTGACCATTTGACCGTTTTGCCCCCAAAAACAGTCAAAAAACGGCTATTTTGTGAGGTTATTTTGATCATTTGCCTAGGGGCCTGGTTCTATAAATAGAGGGGGGTTTTCATTTGTTTTCTTCACACCAAAAACTCATCTCTTCTCTCTTATACTCTTATACTCTCTCTTATACTCTTACACTCTCTTATTTATACTTTCTAATCCTTTCATCAAATGGCTTCCGGATCTGATTATGAAGAGCAAAACATATCTCCCGATCCTGAATTGAGTCCTCCTACTATGAGTCCTCCTACCGAAGTTAATCTCGAATCCGGTGGCGACGAATCTGCACCAAGCGCTCCTAAAAGGCCAAGATCCGATGTGTGGAATTTTTACGAGAAGATCGACGTCACCAAGGATGAACACGGTAGGATCCTCACCCAGAAGGCTAAGTGTGCTTTGTGCGGCAAGATTTTTCAAGCTCATCATAAGAGCGGCACCAACCACCTCAAACGCCATTTAGATAAACACAACAAAGGCCAGCCTCCTCAAGGTGATATCCGACAATCCATGATTTCTCAATCCTCCTCTTCTGGTAGTCTCGGTAGTTGGAACTATGACGCTGCCAGAGCCAGGAAATGCGTAATCAGGTTTATCATTCTTAAAAACCTTCCTTTTAAATTAGTAGAAGATGATGAATTTGAAGATATGTTTAGAGATGGTTTTTATCCTGCATTTAAAAAATTTTCTCGTCAAACCTGCCAACGTGATATTTTAAAATATTATCAGCAGGAACAAGGAAAAATAATTTCTTATTTTAACAATTTAATTTGTAAATTTTCTTTAACTTCTGATATTTGGACATCTAGAGCACAAACTGGATATTTATGTATCACAGCACACTGGATTGATGAAAATTGGCAAATGTTTAAAAGAGTTGTTTCTTTTATTGCAATAGAAGAGTCACATACTGGTGCTAATGTTGCAAATTTAATAATTGAAGAACTTATGAAATTAGAAATTTCACAAAGAATATTTTCTCTTTCACTAGATAATGCAAGTAATAACAATGTAGCTGTTGATTTTATCAGATCATCTTTATCATTGCCATGTCATGGTGATCTTTTTCATATTAGGTGCATCTGTCATATTTTAAATTTAATTGTTCAAAGTGCATTTACTGAAATTAAACCCATGATAGAAAAGGTTAGAACAGTTGCTTACATGCATAGTGCTTCTGAACAAAGACTTAAAAGATGGAAACAATTTTGTAAAAGAAAAAATGTAAAGCCTAGACTAATTCCAAAAGATGTTGACCATAGGTGGAATTCCACATATGCAATGTTAAGTGTAGCAATAGGTGTTGCCTCAGCGGCGCCCGGCCCGGACCCGGGCCAGCCCGAAACAGTACGGCGCCGGGGCAACATCTGGGCCGGGCAGCCTGGGCCCGGAGCCCGGCCCGTGTGGCAACGGTCACCACTCGTGACCGTTGTCGAAAATAAGCCGGCCCGGCCCGGTCCGGCCCGGCCACAACGGTCACATTTGACCATTTGACCGTTTTGCCCCCAAAAACAGTCAAAAAACGGCTATTTTGTGAGGTTATTTTGATCATTTGCCTAGGGGCCTGGTTCTATAAATAGAGGGGGGTTTTCATTTGTTTTCTTCACACCAAAAACTCATCTCTTCTCTCTTATACTCTTATACTCTCTCTTATACTCTTACACTCTCTTATTTATACTTTCTAATCCTTTCATCAAATGGCTTCCAGATCTGATTATGAAGAGCAAAACATATCTCCTGATCCTGAAATGAGTCCTCCTACTATAAGTCCTCCTACCGAAGTTAATCCCGAATCCGGTGGCGACGAATCTGCACCAAGAGCTCCTAAACAGCCAAGATCCGATGTGTGGAATTTTTACGAGAAGATCGACGTCACAAAGGATGAACACGGTAGGATCCTCATCCAGAAGGCTAAGTGTGCTTTGTGCGGCAAGATTTTTCAAACTCATCATAAGAGCGGCACCAACCACCTCAAACGCCATTTAGATAAACACAACAAAGGCCAGACTCCTCAAGGTGATATCCGACAATCCATGATTTCTCAATCCTCATCTTCTGGTAGTCTCGGTAGTTGGAACTATGACGCTGCCAGAGCCAGGAAATGCGTAATCAGGTTTATCATTCTTAAAAACCTTCCTTTTAAATTAGTAGAAGATAATGAATTTAAATTTCTCGTTAAACCTGTCAACGTGATATTTTAAAATATTATCAGCAAGAACAAGAAAAAATAATTTCTTATTTTAAAAATTTAAACTGTAAATTTTCTTTAACTTCTGATATTTGGACATCTAGAGCACAAACTGGATATTTATGTATCACAGTACACTGGATTGATGAAAATTGGCAAATATTTAAAAGAGTTGTTTTTTTTATTGCAATAGAAGAGTCACATACTGGTGCTAATGTTGCAAATTTAATAATTAAAGAACTTATGAAATTAGAAATTTCAAAAAGAATATTTTCTCTTTCACTAGATAATGCAAGTAATAATAATGTAGCTGTTGATTTTATCAGATCATCTTTATCATTGCCATGTTATGATGATCTTTTTCATATTAGGTGCATCTGTCATATTTTAAATTTAATTGTTCAAAGTGCATTTACTAAAATTAATTTATGTCATTTTAAGTAATTAATAAAATTATTATTTTTATTATTTTTCTTATCTTTTTTTATAATTTAAAATTTAAATAAAATTGAAAAAATTTGGGAAAAAAAAGAAAGAAAATCAACCGGGCCAGCCCGGAACCCGGCCCGGTGTACCCGGGTCCGGGTCCGGGTCCCGGTTTTGCCCGGCCCGGGCCCGGATTTCCGGGCCGGGCCGGGCCGGATGGACAGGCCTAGTCCTCTTGGTTTTGGGAAATCTATTACTGTACAAATATGTTTTCTCTAATCAGTGCATCAATCCAATAATCTCTTTGTAAGGACTCTTCACTGAGATACAAATGAATACTCTGTAGTAGATAAAGATAAATATGAACTTTGTTAAATTAGAAAAAAAAAAAAAACTTGCACCGCACCTTAACAGAGCTATCACGAGGGGAGGTCCATGCTTAAGCTTCAAGCTCCCATGAGTTCCCAGATTGAATATCTACGTACGTAGAGTTAGCAATGAGATTAGACCCCGGTTAACAATTCAAAACTTATATAACAAACAAATGAAATTCATCTGCATACCTTGGAACGGAGCATCAAGACCTCAAACAACATCTTCCCAGTGGGCAAATATGTAGATCATCATAACCAAGAAGTTAGATTGATCCAATCTCTCATTGAGCGATATATTTATGAATCAAACAATCCAATCATAGAAAAGTCTTGGGAGTAAAGATCCTACTCCACAAACTGAGAATTGCTTTATCGTTTGAACAACTCCAGCCCCGCTCTAAGGTCCAAAATGCATGCGTGACCTCTCTGTCTTGATCGTCTATTTATGGTGACAATCTTTTGAAATGGTGTATCGGATTGAACGACGACGATGCATTTTGTAAAACTGCGACGAAGACCACAAAAAAAACTGTTGGATAATTTGATGATCTAGGCATGAATAATTGAACTAGAAATATAAATTAATTACCGTTCACCGTCGAAAACAATGGAAGTCTTCTCCTCTCTCCTCCTGTAGCCAATGATGGGAATTAGGTCTCTTTTCTGCATACGGTTGAGAGGAGGGACTCCCACCCTTTAAATAGATATTTGTGATTAACCCTACCCATCATGGTTTAATCACAACCGTGGGATTACACTCCGGTTGATCCTATCCTTTAGATATTCAAGATAACCACCCAACTTGATAAACTTGAAACTGTCTAACCAGACCATGTGGTTAGCATCCTGATCCTAACTTGAATCGATAACAACTTTAAATCAAATCCAAAATCGAGTAGGTTGGGCCACTTGGGTTCGTTGGATTAATCTAACCCAACAATCTCCCACTTGGCACAACATACCTCATTTTAATTTTCAAAAATATTTAAATTTTCAAAAACTTTCAAAAGTCGGGTGCGCACCCATTTATTTTAGAAAACAACTTGTTGCCATGATTCTAATTAGGATAGTTTCCGAAACCTTTTCCTTAAAACAAAAGTACCACTAATGGTTGATCGTGAAAACACTATATGCTCTAATATGGCACAAGGTCACTCCACGGTCCAACCGCTAGTACCACTAATGTTCTAAAGACATTTTCCTTATGGTGGTTTTAGTGGAGTGTAATAGAGCCGTACATCCCTTATGGTCAAATCCGATGTACGCCCTTAAGTGTCCTCTGCAACATACACAAACATGTATGCCGTTCTGAAACTTTTACCGGCATCCGCCATGTGAAAACCATCACCTTTAGTCCAGAACGAAAGCCTCAAATGTGATGCCCAATCACATTCAGCTTCTGCACAAATTTAAGAGTCTCTTTACTTTAACCTTTATGACTCTATGGACCACTGTCTTTAATTCGAGTTTCTTTACAATTAACTTGAAACTCTTTACTTTAAACTTTAGTTTTCTTTACTTTAAAATATATATCAAGCAACAATAACCAAGAACACAATGCTTGAAAATATCAAACTGCTAAAAAATTAGCACAATAGTTTCTTTATGAGCTCAAAGCAATCCAGAATATAGTACTTGAAAACAAAACAAAACTACTACGACAACTGAATCTCACTGATCATACAAAATCGAAAGACTCTAAAACACCCATACTGGATACATATTCCTTGAAAAGCCTTGGAGAAATTCCCTTGGTCAAAGGATCAACAATCATCAACTGAGTCGGCAGATGAGGAACCTCAATCAATCCTTGTTCGACCTTATCAAGGACTAACAAGTACTTCACACCGATGTGCTTATTCCTGCTAGAAAAATTCTTGTTCTTTACAAACTGTACAACTGCCTGATTGTCACAATACAACTTTACTGGTCTCTGAATGGAATCCACCACCTTTAGTTCACTGATGAAATTCTTGAGCCAAGAGGCATGCAATGTTGCTTCAAAAACAGCAACATACTCTGCCTCCATGGTGGATGTCGTCACTAAGGACTGCTTGGCACTTTTCCAGGAAACTGCTCCTCCAGCGAGCAGAAATATATAACCTGATGTTGATTTCCTGCTATCCGCACATCCGGCAAAATCTGAATCTGAATAACCAACGACTTCTAGATTTTCAGACCTTATGTAGACCAACATGAAATCCTTAGTCCTCTGCAAATACCGTAAAACCTTCTTTACAGCTTTCCAATGAGCTACACCAGGATTTTGCTGAAACCTGCCTAATATTCCCACGATATAACTGATGTCTGGCCTGATGCATGACACTGCATACATTAGACTGTCAACTGCAGAGACATACTCTTCAGAGTTCACGAGCCTACGCTCAACTTCATTTCGTGGGCATTGAGATTTGTTGAACATATCTCCTTTGACAACTGGGGCTTCACCTGGTGCACAAAACTTCATGCCATATCGTTGAAGGACTTTCTCAATATAAGCCCTTTGAGATAAGCCCAACAAGCCTTTAGTTCGATCTCTATGGATCTGAGACAGAATTATTCTCGAAAACAAAGCTATAACCAGATCCAGAAAGTCTAGAAACTGAAATAAGATTCCTTCTCATAGAAGGTACGTAGAAAGTGTCTGATAAAACTAAGGAAACTCCAGAATCCAAGCGCAGACTGAAAGTCCCAACGAGCTCCACCTTCATAGGCTGTGAGTTTCCCAAAAATAGCTGCTCATTTGCCCTTGCCTTCCGACTGTGGATTATTCCATGTGATGAAGTTGAAATGTGCACAGAGGCACCAGAATCAATCCACCAAGAATTTGAAGGAACATCAACTAAATTTGTTTCACAACAAACATGAACTAAATCCCTACAAACTGTACTGTACTGTCTCGCTCTAACGGATTCCTCATTCCGCTTCTGGATAAACTGTCCGTCCATCTGTATTAAACCATGGACATATAAATCAAATGAGACCTTTAATTTAATTAACTTTAATATTTCCACATCCAATTTAGGGTTAGAATGGATGAGTTAGAGTGTTTTACGTATGCAACCTTTCACTCTATGGGACAGGCGGGTGCATCATCTCATCACACCTTTGGGCAAGTGATTTGACATGCTATTCGCCCCCCAAATGTGATATATAATCACCTACAGAACTAGCCTACACAGTGTCAGTTTGATTTGAACACTTCCTAACCTTTGGGCAATAGGGTTATTCTCCTCTCACTGACATGTTTCAACTATCCTGCACCACTTATCCTGTAGGGGATTTCCTAGACACCTTTGGGCAAGACTAGTAGTCCACCCACAGATAAGTGCAACCTACCAGTCCAAATGAGACTAAACTCAACCTTAGAAAATTAGGATATTATAGGTTGGTCACCTTTGGGCAAGACACTAACCTACTCTACCATAATTTCTAAGTGACTGTTTTACTGATCTTCCTTAACCCCATAGGTTGATCTAATACTGTAATCCGTTTTATCATGAACCCAAATATTTACCCCACCTGAATTAAGGATATAATTAGGGTAAATCAATTATCTTTATGTGCATACAAAAATCTTTATGGATTGTCCAAATTCCTATATTAAAACTTTATGAAATGAAAATAAAAACTATATAGTTGAAAAGTACACAGAATGATATTTCCAACGACTATTTATGGGCTCAAAACGGACTTAAAACGGATCTGTAACGACCAAAACAAAATGAATGGTCAAAACTGTAATGGGTCGGGTTTGGAAATTAACGGATCTGGCCCATTACATAAAGGGTTGGGTCAGATTTTAATGGATCCAATCCATTACTGTAGCGGGTTGGGTCCATTACATACTGGATCGGGTCTTCCTTAATGGGTTATAGAGTTACATAACTCAAATAATAAAAGATTAATTAATTAATTTAAATAATTTAATTAATTAAAACCCTAACCCTAAACCCACTTGACCCAAGATATCTGCCGCCACCATGATTGAAATAATTACAGTCCTATAATTCAAGGTTTTGCATCAACCATGGCCATGGCAAACAAAAACACAGCAGCAAGATCTCCTCCTTTCCTTTTTCTTTTCTTTTCTCTAAAGTGTTCTGTGGCCATGATATTCCTAAGATGGCAAATACGAGGAGCAGCCATGGGTTCATGCCGCCATGTATACAGATGAAAAATCAAAGTTGACCGCAGCCATGATGAAATCAAAGTTGATCTTGTGTTGAAATCAAAGTTTAATTTTCCAGCGGCCATGATATCAAAGAAAATCAAAGTTGATTTTTCCGTGAGCAGCCATGGGTTTGTGCCATGGGTTTGTGATTAAAAAAAAAGTTTGCTGTGGAAAAGTTCCGTGGCCATGGCAGGAGTTTTCTTCATCTAGTGGCAAAGATGAAATTATTGTAGATCAAAAGAACTCCAGCAGCAAAAGAAAGACCCAAAAATTATTATTATTATTTTTAATCCGAAAAAAATACTTTAATTCTAGATCAAAAATCATGCACAATCTAGCTCTGATACCACCTTTGGATAATTTGATGATCTAGGCATGAATAATTGAACTAGAAATATAAATTAATTACCGTTCACCGTCGAAAACAATGGAAGTCTTCTCCTCTCTCCTCCTGTAGCCAATGATGGGAATTATGTCTCTTTTCTGCATACGGTTGAGAGGAGGGACTCCCACCCTTTAAATAGATATTTGTGATTAACCCTACCCATCATGGTTTAATCACAACCGTGGGATTACACTCCGGTTGATCCTATCCTTTAGATATTCAAGATAACCACCCAACTTGATAAACTTGAAACTGTCTAACCAGACCATGTGGTTAGCATCCTGATCCTAACTTGAATCGATGACAACTTTAAATCAAATCCAAAATCGAGTAGGTTGGGCCACTTGGGTTCGTTGGATTAATCTAACCCAACAAAAACACCTCTTCTTTAAGCGCTTGTTTCAGACTCTCGATATATGCAATTCAATCTCAACAGAAAGAGTTTTTGGCTGCTTGGCGATTGAATGCAATCCCGCTTGACAGAAGAAACGAATGGATAGTACGTTTAGGACAACTTGCTGGCTCATTTGAATAAGAGGACAATAATCGTCTAGTGAAGTCAGGCTGAAGAGTATACCAGGAAGATGAATCACGTCTTGTGGAGTCACTTGTGGAGTCATGGCCTGATTGTGTGCACTCATAAAAGTTGAAGAACGCACGTAAATTTCTAATTTATTCGTCTAAATCTCATGTTCCGACCTTTCTTTAGAAAAAATTCCATGCATAATATCAAAAACTTGGTTCTATGCTACGTTCCTTGTTTCTACCCAACTTTGCCCGGGGAACTTATTGAGCCCTCTCTCCCTCATCATTTCCCTGGTCATCTCCCCCATTTGCGACTTCCCTGCATCGTCATACATCGTCGCAAGCATGACATACACCGCAGGATCACCAGGATCCATCTCCATCACTCTCCTTGCCATAATCTCCCCCATCGCCAAATTCCTATGCAGCTTACAGCAATGCAACAACGTCTTATATATCAACGGGTCGTTGGGCTTGAAGCTCATCGTCTCTATAACCCACGCCGCCTCCTCTAGCCTCCCCGCTCGGCCCAATAAATCCACCAAACATACATAATGATCCAATTGTGGGCTCAATCCAAACATCTCAGTCATAGATTTAAAATACTTGACGCCCAAATCAACGAGACCTCCATGACTACAAGCATAGAGAACTACCAACATTGTGATATTATCAGGTTGAACTCCTGCGAGTCTCATGTCCTCGAAAGCTGACAATGCTTCAGTGAAGCGGGCATTTGATGAATAGCCTGATATAAGCCCATTCCAAGATGCTACATTTGGTTCTGGGATCAATGCGAAAGTTTTGCGAGCTTCCTCTATGAACCCACATTTGCTGTACATGTCAATGAGACCATTGGAAACTGATACCCAGTTGTTTAGTCCCGATTTCAGAGACAAGCAGTGGAGTTGCTTGCCAGCCTCGATGGCTGCTAAGCCAGAGGTAGCAGATACGAAGGTGGCAAGGCTGAAACCGTCAATCCGCACATCATCATCGTGCATGATTGGGATGATTATGTCAAGTGCTTTTTTATGAAGGCCAAGCTGATTCAGGCCTTTGGCTAAGCTTGTGTATGTGAAGATGTCTCTATGTGGCATCATCATGTATGCAACATTCCATGCATCATCTATTCGCTTTAATCTAGTGTACGCGTCGACAAGAGAGTTTCCAATGATCAATTGAACATCCCAAGCATCCACGTTGGTCTTTAGAACATAGGCATGGATCGCCATTGCATGAGCTAAAGCTTCTGTAGAATATCCACCGCTTTTGAGGATAGTAGACAAAGTGTAAGAATCGGGTGCTATTCCTGTTGCTCGCATCTCTGTGAACGCTGTGAATGCTTCATTGACTTGATTGTGTCGAAGAAGACCAGAGATCAAAGTCGTCCAAGAGAAGGAATCAAGATAATGTAATTCTCCAAATGCACGGATAGAATCATTCAAATTGGATGATAATTTTGAATACAAGTCCACCAGCGCATTACCAACAGATAAATCTCCTTCTACCCCAACCTTGAAGACACGAGAGTGAGTCTGCATACCGAGCTGTAGCGCAGAACAAGACACGCAAGCATTCAGAACTGCAGAATAGGTGAAGGAGTTGGGCAAAACTCCAGCAATCTCCATTTCCCGAAGAGTTTCAATAGCCAGTTTACAGTCTGCATCTTGAGCGTACCCAAAAATTATTGTCGTCCACAGCATCACATCAGAATCAGACGTCTGGTTCAAGACTTTGAGCGCATTTCTCATCCGCCGACACTTTGCATACATGTCAACGAGTGCAGTCTTTAGTACTAAATTAAGATCGACACCCCTCACGATCAGCTGACCATGAACCAGCTCTCCGTAATGCAACCTGAGAAACCGACAAGCCAACAAGATCTTCACAAAAGTAAACTCATTTGGAGAAACACCATTAACAATCATATCCATAAACATCCTCAGAGCCTCACTCCACTCTCCGGCCTCAACAAGAGCAGATATCATCACAGTCCAAGATACCGTATCTGTACCCTCCATCTCCGAAAACATCCTCAATGCATCCTCCAACTCATCACACTTTGCATAGAAATCCAACATCGCGCTAGAGAGAACAACATTTGACTCGAAACCCCTCTTTAATATCCGTGCATGGATGCATGTGCCAAGATCGAATCCTCCAGCTGAGGAAGCGCAGCGGATCATGGTGGCGTAGGTGAACTGATTTGGGTTCAGACCCGACAATACCATTTGGCCGAAAAGCTCGAGGGCGGTGCCGTGGGCCCCGGTGTTGACATAGGAGGAGATTATGCCGGTCCAAGAGACTATGTCTCTGTGTGGCATTTCGTCGAACAGCTTGCGGGCGAGATGGGTTTTCTTGCATTTGGAGTAGAGGGAGAGGAGGAGGTTGCTGATGAGGGTGTGGGCTTGGAGGCCCAACTTGATTAATGGGCTGTGAGTGTACAGGCCGTGGGTTAGGGATTTGGAGTTGCAGTCGTAGAGGAGATCGATTAAGGAGAAGGGGGACTGTGAAGGGAGAAGATGAGGATGGGATTGGGAATGGAATTGTTTGGTGATGAGAAGCAACGGATTGAGAGCGAGTTTCCATAGGATTGAGAGGGAGCTGCTCATGCTCGAATTTTGGCGCGCTTGAGGGCTGGATGTAGATGACTGTATATAATCTTTTTGGGGTTATTTGTAAACCTAAATATCAGAAAACCCCCTTAACTTTGGACGATTAGCGGAACACAACCCTTAACGTTGAAAATATCAGAAAGCCCCCCCTTAAGTATAGGGATTATCACCAAACCCCCCTTTGACTTTCAGATTTTAAAATCTCCCTAACTTCGAAATTTTATCAGAAACTCCCTCGCCCTAAATTTTTGTTTTTTGGTTGGCCAGGGGTTGGGGGGTTGGTTTTGTGTGGTTCTGTGATAAAATTTCAAGGTAAGGGATTTTTTTTTCTCCAAATAATCACCCAAAGTTAAAGGGGATTTCATGATATTTAGCCTTATTTGTACTTTAACACCCAAAGCTCGACATATTTCTTTAATATGATATCTCAAAGTTCTATTTTGGCAATTTGATACTCAAAATCCTTTGAATTAACATTAATTTTACAATTAGACACCAAAAACTCCCAACTTTCCCTGAACTCTCAAATGATCGAAATTTGGTAAGAAAATGAGTCAAATTTAGCCTCGGGGTAGCAACGGAAAAAGTACACCCACGACAACACAAATAGAGACAAAATGAGTCAAATTTATGCAAATTGCTTGAAATGGATATGCATAACATTACAAAAGAATCACAAGGAAAATGAAGGTAGCTTCATATAGCTCAAATAATCCACAAAAATGGTACATAATAACTAGCAGAATAACAGTCCATTCCACCACCAGAACAAAATGTGATACCCAGTTAATTTTGATCACAAAACTCATTCCATCTCAACAAACATATCCTAAGAAAATTAAGTCACACTTCCTTAATATTGAGGATACAATCAACAATTTAGTAACTGGCATTAATATATTCTATCTCATCTTTCTTCCCCTCTTGGGAGATTCATCCTCATCTTTCTTCTTCTTCTTCTTCTTCTTATTGAGGTATCGACTTAAAGCTGTTTTTGCCTCCGCCCATTGCCTCAGAGACTCATCAGACCTCATGAACGTGCATACATCACTTACAGTGCTCCTCGATTTCTGCTCACTACCCTGTTGCGGTCCTTTATGCTCTTCTTGACCTGCATTGGCCTCTTGTTTATCTCCATTTCCGACCATCTCATCAACAGCAGGTAAAAGCTTTGATCTTTTTTCTGATTTATTCTCATTCACTTCAATCGATGTGTCAATGGCTGAATCACTATTTTTAGGTTGTTTCTGTATCAAGGAACTAATGCCTGGCAAAACATTTGTGATGCTAAATGAACTGTCCGTAGTTCCCCCAACGAGGTCCTTCCATGAATTTTTCTGTAACCAGGACTGGCCTCTTGCTGATTGAGTGGCAAGCTTACTTTGTTCATTTTGGCCATTACCAGTTTGAGGCTCAGCTGAAATTTCAGTTTGAGGCTCAGCTGAAATTTCAGTCTCTTGAGAATCATTGATTCCAAATGGACTCTTCCCAGTCTGCCCTTTTGTTGATTGAGCAGCAAGCTTGCTTTGTTCTTTCTGGCTTGTTGATTGAGTGGCAAGCTTGCTTTGTTCTTTCTGGCTTGTTGATTGAGTGCCAAGCTTGCTTCGTTCTTTCTGGCCCTTATCGGTTTGAGGCTCAACTGGAATCTCAGGCTCTTGAGTATGGTGGATGTTAAATGAACTGTTCCCATTTCCTGCAACAAGGTTTTTCCAAGAGGATTTCTGTAACCATGACTGGCCTTTTGTTGATTGAGTGACAATCTCGCTAGGTTCAGTTAAGTCCTTGTCAAGTGAAGGCTCAGTCGAAGTATTTGATTCTTGAGATTGAACCTCTGAAGTCTTTTTTTGGGATAATATTGCTGAGAATTCATTTTCAATGATTTCGACATCTGCAGTCTTCTTTCGGGGTAATATTGCTGAGAATTCATTTTCAACGATATCAACATCTGAACTCTTCTTTCGGGGTAGTATTGCTGAGAATTCATTTTCAATGATTTTGACTGGCGATTCCAAGTGAGCTTTCTTGTTTGCTGTAACTTCAGATGCATCCACAGGACCACCTTTCTTCCGTTTCAAAGTATTTGCCTTATTGTGGTTCGATTCATTTTTGAATGATTGGTGCTTACTTACGCTTGATTCCTACAAATTTAAAAGAATGGAGAGAAATATTAATGATTCCAGTTAATAGATTAGAATAGATTTTTTAATAGGCTTATTTTCACTTTGCTATCCCAAATTTTATTCATTTTCGTGTGCTTAGCACATGATACCTCCATCAACTGCTACTAGGAAACATTTGGTTGATTGTATCCCTAGCAACCAGGTAAAATTGACCTAAATTGCAATACAACATTAACAAAAAAACTAACAGAATCTGAACAGGAAAGCGAAATGGAAGAATTAAAACTTTGGGGTATCAAAGTGTTAGGTATGAAAGTGAAAAAAGAATAACCTTTGGGGTATCAAAGTGAAATGAAGTCTATTGAATGTTGGACATCACCATGTTTTTCGAAAAAGACAAAGAAGTGGAATACCTGATTAAGTGTAACTTTTCTTTTGCCGCTTCTTCCCCTCCAGATGTTGGTCACAAGTTCGTCATCATCCACCTCCGATTCTTCCTCTGATTCTTCCTCATGAATGTCATCAATAGAGGTACGTGAAAGGTTTTCGGGTGCTGATAACACTGTCTCTTCTTCAGTATTGGGTTCATTACTTTCCTTTTTGAGGAGCTTGTTCATCACAGAATTCATGATGTCGAGCTCCTTCTCATAGTGGACACCACTGTTGAGAGCAGAAAGATACTTCTTGCTGGCTGTTCTGGATGACTCGTTATGTTCCTCACAATCACAGAAATGAATTGGGAGAGCTGGAACTTCAATTCTCTGGAAACTGTACTTGTGTTTGCCTGTTCCTTTAAAGGGCAACGACTTCACCTGTATATCAAACTTGCTTCAGTCAGAATGTATGATATTTCTTGAACACTGAAGAAGGTGTTGAATACTTGCCGCATACTATGATCTTTGGACAATATCTTTCTTTTTATTTTATTTTCTTCTGTCAAAACGGTCACATTTTCGCTCCTTAATACTTGAGAAAGGAGCCCTCTGTTTTGCTATAGACATCTACCATTATCCTAAATCTGGTATTTAACGATGAAAATCATCAGTTCTAGTTCATTGTTTTGACAAGTGTTTTTCTATTACCTTAAAAATGTTTATGATTCTCAGCCTTGCAATATTATCTAAAAGTATATCTAAAAAACTCCAATTCATTTGTGCCCAATCCCAATTTACGTGTTCCATCCAAACATCTTACGTATAAAATCTTATCCTTGAAAAAAAGATCAATAGCGTTGGACTACTCCAGATCACCTGTAATGCCAGATGAACAATCACATCGTTTACAAAAATCAACAAGCAGAACAACAGTTTCATGTCATAAAACTATAACCCAAGAAAAACTGTTCATATGGGTATTAGGTTATTCTCAGAAAAGGAGAAAAATACTAGTCCATATCGACATGTTGCATCAAATGGGAAATCATCCTTAATTCAGCCTTGTCAGTTAATTGAAAAACATTATGTAATTTATGTTAACTGGCCACCATCAACGATGTTCTGCTTCCATTAAAGATTTATACACCATCCTAAGCCTATCAAAGGACTTTGGACTTCTCTTTGAAGTGATATACTAATAAGGAACACTTTGAACGAATCAAATATTCCAGACTCGCACAATGAAGGTCTCAGGACTGATATAACAAAGTACAAAAATAGATATTGACTATTGACAATATTTTCCCCCTCAAGGAGATTAAAACTAGTGAAGCTGTTAACCCCTACCTTTCTTAGTTTTGGAAAGAAAATTCTCAACTGCATATTCTCCATCTCGAAGCGGTCTGGTTTTGAGTTGCCTGCATCTTTGTCCGTATCAGAATCAGTCGGTGTCTCAGCCTTAAGTTTTGCATCTTCTGCCCATTCCCGCTTCAGACGGTCAAGATAGTGCTCTTTAGCCTTTTCAAGTTTAAGCTTCCCCCCTTTCCAAGTGCATCCATTATACTGCATGGGTCAAATTAGCTCGTTAAACATACTATAAAATCATTAGTAGTTTATAACTGTAACCGGAATTTGAAGCTAAATAAAAACTTTTACTACGCCGATAGCAGCCTGTCATGTCAAAATTGCACATGTTCATAAAAGGCTTGCCATTGACATTGAGGAACTTCAGAAACATGTAATGGGCTGTGAACGGCAGGACCAAGTACAGTATATGGACTGCAGAACATCCCTCCTGCCGGTTAAGTTCAGATGAATTAGAATCCCCTTTTACTAGGTCACATTCAAGGCGGCGAGAAATAATTCTCGAAGGTTGGAACTTTGGTATTCATCCTTTGTCGAATATGAGGAACGTATACATTGTTTAAAGCCTTATCTCATTTTATTTCCAGGTTTATGCTTCATGTGGCATAAAATTTCAAATGTTTCCTCTTCTTCAAAAAGTTGAAACTTTTCATCAGAGTTGTGAGATAATGTTTCCTCTTCTCCGAAAATCCAACTTTTCATTCAAAAATCATTCAAAACTACAAGAAACACTTCCCAAAACCTCCCCAGAAAATCAAAATCACGACATCAACAGTTTAATCAAACGCGCGATCGACGCACAACCTAATCGCTAACAAGTCCGGGTGTTTATCGATCGGAACAAGACGGGGAGAACCAAAAACTCACAGTGGAGAAGAGCTTGGCTAGGGTTATGTCGGAGGTGGGCTCGAGATCCATGTAGGCGAAGCTGCGGCCGCTCGGCCGCTCGAGCGGACGATCTCGACGCCGGAGACGCGAACGAGGGACGAGAACGTCCTCTCGATGTCGCCGGAGGAGATGGTGGGGCCCACGTCCCTGAGGAAGATTCTCATCGCCGGCCGGCGAGCGTGAGCGGCCGCTGATTCTCCTCCCTCTTCTCCCATCTCCAGAGCGCCGTCGTCGGGACTTCTCTCTCTCTGTTCTTCTGTTTTCGTAAGAGGCCAGTAAGGATTTTGCTTTAAGTGGGCTTGTGTTTGGGCCGTGATCCGATTCGGGCCTTGAAATTTGTGGGATAAAAAGTTTCACAAAACCTATGGTAAAATGGTCAGATTGGCATATTTTTTCGAGGTTTGGTGAAATGTTGGTATATTTTCTTTTAGTTTTGTCAGGTTGGTATATTTTTTCAATTCCGGCATCATATAGGTCTTAAATTTGGCCGGAGTTACTGTTCCGACCAGAGCTGATGGGATTTTTGGCCGGAACAGTAACTAAATTTGGTCGGAACAGTAACTCTGGCCAAATTTAAGGCCTATATGCCACCGAAGTTAAAAAAATATACCAATATGATAAAACTAAAAGAAAATATATCAATATGTCACCAAACCTCGAAAAAATATACCAATCTGGCCATTTTGCCCAAAACCTATCATCATTAACTCTTTTATTAGAAAAAGTACTATGAATTCAACACCTGTAGAAAGATACCATATAGGTTAAGATTGTTGCTAATAATGAAAATTTTAACTCATCCTTAGTTATGTCTATTAATGCGTAGGGTATTTTTCTTGTACGAAATCAGCATAAAATATATGAATTTTGTGAAAACAGCCACTACATAAATAAGAGTTCAAACGGGACATGTGGGGATGTTTGGAGGGAATTAAATTTTTTTGACTGGAGTTAAACTAACTTTTGGAGCGTAATTTTTTTTTTTTTTTTTTGCAATGAGAAATCTAACTATCTATATCTATATCTATATCTATACCCTTTAAAAGAGCCGGTTCCTAAAAAACTTTCTCCTTCCCAAATTAACCTTAAATATTTTAAATATACTCAATTTATCCCTTGTAAGCGTAATCAGCCTTAATCTACACGTCGGTAACGCTTTCCTCTCCGCAGAAGCCGAAGAGTTCATCGGTTACCTAAGCGCCTTCCTCTCCGCTGAAGCCGAAGAGTTCATCGGTTACTCTTCTCGCCGCCCCACGAACTTCCACTCACTCAACAGCCATGGCTGCATTATCTCCTCCTCAAATCTCCTTCCTTCTCTCCTCATTTCCTAACCCTAATTCGATCCGTACTCACAAAATACCACCTTTCTCCCCAAAATCGAAGAAAGGCACCGCCATTTCTTCTCGAACTGTTCGCTGCTCGGCGGCGAACAAGCCCTCGCCGTCCGCTGAGGTCAGGCAAGTTTTTATTTCTCAACCTTTGAATTGAATTTACAGGGTTTTTTTTTGTTCGAATTGGGAAATTAACTAATTTAATTGGGGATTCGGGAGAGCAATACGCTAGCTTGATTGAGAACTTGGGTAGGTGTAATTTTGAAGGATGTTATTTGTATATCTGATTAATTAGGAAGATGCTCTTACTAGAATTAAATAATTTGTATATCTGATCCCAAGTTTTAATGAACGGCGGCTTCATTCTTCTTCGTCTTAACTCATCTTTACTAAACCCTAGATCTAAGCTTTAGTTATGCTCAATTCACACTATCCCCTTTTAGTTTTTTAGTCCTCTCATTTTGTTCTAATAATTTTGCCCTATTTCTCGATTTTCTACAGATTCAAGCGACAAACGTTTAAAAATATAAACAGCAGCTATATCGCGACTATAAAGTAAGTTTAGTTTAGTTGAGTTCTTTTATTTTTAAGGTTGTGATTTCACCTGTGATTTCTTTTATTTTTTTTATATGATTCTGATTTGGTTCAGAATCACAAAGGAGAACGAACCCTTGGATGATTGGAAATTATGCAACCATAGATTATATTTATTTAGTTTATACGTGCAAAGGAGTTCCCTTGGATGACTGGAAATTATGAATTAATTGCTATATCAATTCTGTTTTGATCAATCTAATATCAATTGTGTAACCAATAGATTGAAGATATGAATATGTTCTGTAACCATTACTTGAGAAAACCTGTTACTTGAGTAATTATGTATGTTGTGAAAATCTGTTTTGCAATTCTCAATTAAGTTTAACTGTGCAATTCTTTATGTTGTGAAAACCTGTTCCTTGAGTGTCGCACTGGTATTGTCATTGTTGCCGTCTCCACCTTTTGCGCCTATTGTTGATGATTCACATTTAAAAAGGTAGTGTCACACTAGCATTACTTTGTATTTTGTATTAACTTTTGTGTTTAAATAACGAAGAGTAATCCTGTATAACTTTTATTTTGATTTTAAATTCAATATATGCATGATTACATGGTTTAACTTGAAATAACCATAATTCACTTCTTTGTTCTTTTTCGCAGGATAAAGGGTTAGATTGCTGTTGTAAATTTTTTCCCTTTTTCTTTTTCTTTTTTCTTTTTTCTTTCATGTTTTCTTTGCCTCTCTCAATCAATCAAAAGTATGTTTAGAATCAATTGCATGCCAGAAGACGTTACACTGTTCAGTGTGTAACCTTCACCCGAAAATTGTGTTTCGAATATAACCATTAATATTTTGACTTGATATTGATTTGCTATGGCAGTGGAAAGTTCTTCTTGAGTAGTTTTGATAGGAAAGTATATATTTGTTTTATACAAATCACATAACCAGTGTAGTTCTTTAGGCGTATGCTCATAATTATACATTGCTTCATATAAAACAGAAGGTTGGGATTCAGGAAACATTCTCTCTACTGTCACACAACAGGACACAAAATTTACTTATTTCTACTGCGATACATAACTGCATGCAGCTGTTCTTGGATCTTAACATAAATAACGTACCGTGAATTCTTATATTATAGGCTTGCATCCATTTGACTTCTACCCTTCTTATTTCTCTGTAGTAATTTTATCTTGAAGTTTCCATAATAATAATAATACTACTACTAATAATAAATCTTATTCTGAAGCAAATATTATATGCACACCCATGTGTGCGTGTATCCTTGTGGCCCTCTTATCTATTTCACCATGCTTTGAGGTTCAGCGCATCCATCTCTAATGCATGAACATAACATTGGGTAGGCTTCATTTCCCTAGGTTCTCTCTTCAATGTAACACTACAATTCTTATTTCATAATTTAGTGCTATCATGATTGAGCTCATCCTAATCAAGACATTCTTACTCTGTACTAGGTCCTTTTTGTGGGTCCTGTATTAGTTCTGCGTCGAAAGTACTTGTTTGTTTTGAGGGAAATTTTGTTAGTAATAGTTGACTTTGCTGTCACATTAGCAAAATCCTCACTCGGAATTTCCCTATATTCAACTTTTACTCCGAGCAAAAAAAAAAAGGAAAATTCAAAAGCTGCAGATTTTGAAATTTTGATTTTGTCATGGTTCTAACACCTGTTTTTTTTACATCCAAACACTGTCAAAAAATATTTTTGAAGCTATATTTAATGCTTATTGTAGGTCCAATGCAAACCCTGTAATCATTTATTAATTCAATTACTTACCTGATACTAAGTAACTAAAACATGTTGATCCCTGGTTCATCAATACTCATGTAATACTAAAAAGAGACAGGACAATGAAAAGTGTGGTTGTTTAAATGAGTTACAATGAACAAAAATTGTGAGAATATAATATTTCTAAGATTTGAATTTAGTAATATAATCTTCTATGACTATATATGAGTATAAATTTTATCAGAACATCTTCACATGAGAAACATAGGAGACTACTTAGAGATTTCAACTGTATCCTCTATGGCTCAAAATCCCCCGCTCGCATGCGGGATTTTCTGATAAATTTGCATTCTCTAAATATTAATAGACAATTATAATTGAAGAATAGGATTTGTGATGGCAATTATGTGGCATGTGTTAGGAACAAGCGTCAAGATTCTACAATAATAGAGCTCATATGGAGACAGACCTACAAGAAATGGTTTCTTCCTCTAAAACCACTGCTTAGTGTTAGCATAAAGTTGGACCTACATAGATATCCTTCTAGATTTTAGATGTCATAGTGTAACCAACTTAGTACCATAATAATCATTTGTCTTACCTGTGTCAGGAATCTAGAGGAATAGTTTTATATATTATTGTGTAACTGACTGCATATGCTTGAGGTTTGCTGGAGAGTTGTTTGTATTGACCAAGCAAAAGAAGCAATAATGGCTCTCTGAAATCTTTTATGTGAATTAGATTATTGATTTCAGATGCTAATGCAGCAAGGAGGAAAAATAAATCACTGACCAGAGTTCATCAGTAATGAGGAAAAGCTGCACCATGTGGAAGAATGGTGATTTGTTAAAATTGCAAAATTTTAGCCATGGGGAGTCAATTTGAAAGCATACATAATGAGTATATTATTGTTTCACTCTTTTAACTCATTAAGAACATTTTGTGATGAAAGTTATAACTTTGATTTATCAAATTCCCCGTCCATATTAATTTCATCCTCTGCAAGACTAAGAAATAGCATGAGTCAGATTTCCAAAAACACCTTGAAGTTTACAAGAAAGGCGGTTAGTGTAGAGGCTAAGGTTTTGGTTAGTTCTGATACCATGTTTTATATTGGGTAATTGACATGTTTCCAGAGAGAGGCAGTCAGATTATATATTTATATTAAAGAAAATAGAATACAATTACATAACCTTTCAATGTGTGACTAAACAAATAGAATACAACTACATGTTTTAGGAGGCCTTAAGTTGTTCAAAGTCATGCCATCCAAGGATCTCCAGTTGTTCGTGAGCTTTTATTCATTTATTTCATTGCAATATCATATTCTATTGGACGGTCTAACCCAGAAGCAGAAAGTGTAACTAACATTTGTCGAATTTGACTTCTGCAAGGTCATGGTTGCTTCATTAACAGTCACTAATACAAACATGAACCATCTATAGCGTGCACAAGAAATATATTCCTCATTAATATAGTATTTTGGTGAATTTCTAATATGCCTCTTATGTCTAGTAACATCTTTTTAAAACAATGTGTGAAATGATGTGCACTTTTGTAATACACTTTTACGTCTAGATTAAATAATTTAACATTTTTTCCATATTAATGCAGATATTCTACTTTGTTGGATTTGCCTTGTTTTTCTTGAAAACATTTCTAAAGTTGTCGATGATTCAGGTGAGTGAAGCAACTTTCTTCTCTTTTCTCTTTATTTTATTCATAGTGATGGTAACTCTATTTCCTTGTATTTATCTTCTTCTTCACTTAAATATTTATTATTATTATTATTATATGACTTCAAAAAACAGAATTAACCTTAGCATATGAGATATTTGTGATTATTGATGCATGTATAGTGTACCAAATTTCTCAAAAAAACCCTCAAGTACTATTGAACATCAATTAAAATATACTTATTCTCTCAAATTATAGTCATTGCTATACTTATGTTAAATAAAATCATTAATTTAACGCATTAAATTTTCTTTTCCATGTAGAAATTTACATTCTACTTCTTGGATTGCATAATCACTATACATTTGCATAAGAGTACCTTCTTCCAAATGACTTCAAACCAAGGTTTGAATTCAACATAAATATATATTATTATTACTTTATGTGTATTTGTGTTTATTAATAATATATTTCATTATTTTTTAACAGAAGAACACATTCTAATACATGAGAGTAGAAACCCCAAATATAATCAGCACCAGATGTAGATTGGAGTTATGGCACTACAACAAAATACAACATTACCGACGAAACAAAAACGTCGGCAAATGTTTAAAAAACGTCGGGAAAAATATTTCCCGACGCAAAATGCAGCGTCGCTAACGCGTCGCCAAAAGTGCGTCAAGGAAAGTATTTGGCGACGCAAATACATTGCGTCACCAAAAGTACACTTTTGGCGACGCGACATGCGTCGGGAAAAGTACATCTTTTAGCGACGCATATTATTTTGCGTCGGCAAAAGCATGCTGAATTTTTCCATATGCGAAACGGCGTCGGGAAATCTTGCACTTTTGGCGACGTACTTAACGTCGGCAAAGGGCAATGCGTCGGCAAAAGTATACTTTTAGCGACGCGGAATGGAGCGTCGCTAAAAAGATTATCTTTGGCGACGCATGATTTGCGTCGGCAAAAGTGTAGCTTTTAGCGACGCTCTATTCTGCGTCGCTAAAAGTATACTTTTGCCGACGCAAATCATGCGTCGCCAAAGATAAGCTTTTTAGCGACACTCCATTCTGCATCGCTAAAAGTGTATTTTTGCCGACGCAAAATTACGTCGCTAAAAGATATTTCTTTTGGTGACAAAATATGACGTCGGCAAAAGTATTACATTTAGCGACTAAATATAACGTCGGCAAAAGTGTTACTTACTGACGCTTATCGACACTAATTTGCATCGCCAAAAATAATATATTTTCTGTCAAATACAAGCCTACACTGAATCTGAACATCCACAAAAATTTGATCCCATTCACATCAACATAAAAGTCTATTTTTCCATTTCCCCTTGAGCACTAAAAGCATTAATTTACAAACTTCCTCTTGCATACCCAAGTACATAAAGTCTCTCAAAAACAGATTACATCAAGGAAACTAGAAACAACAATCTCAAATGTGTATCATTAATTACAAAGAACAAATGGATTTGATGGAGAATGTCCCGCTGATGATTGATTGGCTTCCCACCACTACAGCTAGTATTGCTATAGCAAGAACAGGCCATCTCACACTTTCTACATGCAAAAAAGAACAAAAAACATCACAAAGAGAATGATGCGAATGGGAGCTTTTAAACAAACAACTACTTTTACGCCCAACTACCTCATTGAAGCGTATTTCCTCAAATTCAGACATAGTCAAACAGTTTGAGTTGGAATTAATGAAAAAAATAATTTGCAATGCGATGAGAATTAAAAAAAATCAGATACAAGGTCCTTAAAGATTGGAATCATTCTTCATCTAAGTATAAAATCTAGAATACAAGGATATAAATGTAATTATGCCAGACTCCACAATTTTGACCCATAACAAAGATTTGTAGCATAACCATCACCAATGAAAAACTACTGATTCCTGAAGTTCAATAAAAGTCAATCGAGATAACAGTTTCTCCATCAGTATTTGATGCTATCAGTGAATTGCTTTTCTTATTTTCAAACCGAACCGTACATTGAGACCTGTTATGTTACAATTAAACTTCACTCGCCACAAGGCATCATGAGAGCTATACCATTTGAGGGCAAATTGACTAATTTCAAGTAGATAAGGCCATAATAGATATGGTTGGTGAATTGTTTCAAAATGACTCTGATTGCTTGAGTCATGGATAAGGACATAACAGATTGTTGATGTCTCTTTGTGCTGTTTATCTGAGCAACATGCATATACCATCTTCATGCTGGTTCAAATTTTCAGAAAATGCAAGCAACCGATAACATATTTTACATTTTAAATCCTAATTTATGTATGAACTTAAACTGTTGACATTTAGTCAATGGCAATGATATAGCAAAACAATGTCATTATTGATTTTCAGAAACGGAAAAGAGAAAAGGATTCTTACTATTAATATATGTAGAAATTTGTGCTTCCTGGACAACATACTACATGGATAGGCATCATTCAAATAAATTTCAGACTGGGTTTCGATTGATAAGTTTTCGAGATTCTTGCAACACCATGTCCCTGCAATTTTAAGGGAATGTAAGC